GGGGGGGCGTCGTGGAACTGCCCCCCTCACTTTTCTCTGCTCGTCAACGGGAACGCACAGAGGACGCCGGGGGTTATTCTGGAGAAGCAAAGGTTCCCAGCATTGGTTCTCCCAAGGGTCTCACCATACAAGTGGAGTTCTTTCACGTAGAGCGGTTTATTCCCATTCCAATGCAAATTGAGGCAGATGCACAGCATCTCTACAATTTTCGCGATTATAATAAAATAGAAGGGGTGTGTTACGTCTGTCATGAGGTGGATTGCTCCGTGTATGAGGCACTAATGGAGGAACAGCACCGTCCTACCCCACAAAGTATTGAACTAGGTTTTCGGAGCGATACGAGTGAGAGTTCTCCTCACCCTTCCTCCACAACCTTCTTTAACCAGTATTTGATTGATGAGCTTGGTATGGTGAAGGATATTAATGTTGATGGTCGGTCCGATGATGGCTCGTAAGAAGAAAATATTTATCGCCGATAAGATGCAAACTAATTAAATAAGAGGTGCACCAATGACGATAAATAGTCGAAGCAATTAGTGTGCGTGTGGATGAAAAGGAGATTTCCGTTTAGGGTAAAGGACCAGCGCTGTTATATCTGGATTCTCTTCTACATCACCCACTTTTTATAAAAATAGCAGAACTAAGCAATCCTTAATTCAACAAAATTGGTGACAAAACCATTCGGGACTGAAGAAGTGAAAAAAGTGTTCAGAAAACGCTTGAGATGGGCTTCGTTGATCGTGGCGGGGGGCGGGAGGCCAAAGGCTCTAGCTTGCGTCGGTCAAAGAAAAACCCTGGGGCCCCCTCCAGCAGGAACCAGTGTCTGCACAAGAATTTTATTCTACCACCCACACGTTCTACACCCCTCCCACCGCCCGCTTGTACAACGATAATTTCCAACATGATAGCATATGCACGTCGTCAAGCCACCTGTAGCTCTATTTCGGCAATAACATCATCTTCAATATCGGTTCTCGCTGAGCATGAGGAGGTTCCGCAGACACAAACCGCCAGGACATTGGATAGGGCGTCGCAGTTGGTCGACGCCGTCGGGTCATTCAATAAGTCTCTCAACGTGTCAGGTATCCCTCAAGAGGATGAAGTCGCGATGCTTATTAGAATGACTGGTGTGGATCACGGTGTGTTGCCAATTCAACGACACATCGACGCTTCAACTGCAATTCTTTCAAGAAAGCTTCAATTTGACCAAGCGGGCCTGTTCCGCCGAGCTGCAGAAGAAGGCAACGTCAGCACGGTGCTGTGCTGGTGTGCAGAGCAAGAGCGGCAGCCAATGCTTGTGGAAATGTGCAAGGAGCACAACAAACTTCTCCTTTCAGACACACTACAGCTACATGATCGCGTGAGCTTTAAAAACAAAAAAGGAAAGAAGGTTTCTTTTAGCGAAGATAATCGAGATACGGATCAACATAAAAAAAATATCGACTCTGGTGTCGATAGGAGAAACTCACAGAAACACGCCGCCTTAACGACACCAGATGGAGTTGTACTCTATTGCCTAGTTGGCGTACATCCCAACAACACAGACAGTATGAAGCTCAAGTTGCAGGAAAAATGGGTTGAAGAGGTCCGTGACTACGCCAAAAATGCTGAGGTTCTTGGAATTCTTTCTGGGCTTGACTTGAGTCGTGGAAGCGACTCCCACTATGCACAGGAGTGGATGCTTCGACAGTCTTGGTGGGTGGCAGGTGAACTGAAACTACCACTGGTACTTTTCCTCGATAGCAAAACGTCAGAAGGACTTATTCGGACCGGGCAACGCGTGGCTGTGCTACTGGATGAACTTATTCAAAGCAGCTCATTTGAGGCAAACACCGTCATGTGCGTAGGCACCTCGAACAGGGGGCCGCTAGCTGAGGATAGCGCATGCACAGCATCCTCCTACAGAGCTCCTGTGGCGGTGGTGTTGCACAATGGACTGAAGGTACTGGCATGTTCTGAAGACATGCGCAAGTGGGTTTCTAGACACCAACCAGAAAGCCCCCAAGCTGTTGTTTTGAGACACGCAGAGCAAAAAGGCACGTCTACCCGCATTCCCATATTGCCAGCCTATGTGATAGTAACGGTGGAAGGGCTAAATTTTGCTTCCGACGGGCTTTATGAAACAGAAAAGGATACGACAGGTGATTATGTCGACGTTTGGGCTAAGCTTTTGCCACAATTATGTGCTACCGCACGCGGGACATGTTCTAGTCCCGCCGAGAGTACCACAATTAAGCAGGAAGACCGCCTGAGTTGGACTCAGCTTCTCATTGGTACCGCCTCTCCATGGTGCACACCACAGAATCTACCAGATAAGGACCTATGCACACTTCCGAATGAACCAGGACATTATCTGTACGTTGTTCGTACTCTTTACGAAGCGATGAAAAGAGAGTATGAGAAGGAAGTCAGAGATACACCATCTCGGGCGGATTGCACCGAAATCTCGCTTGTGTCACACGAAACTTTAGCAGACCTAGTACTATGCAACGCATTGTGGGTTTTCTTTGCCGACTATATCGCGGAAGCACTCTTGAAGGATGGCCAGACGGATGGGTGCTGTAGCGGTCATACCCCCATTGACGTCAACGAACACCATGTGGGCCCGTCTTCGACACGAAAGAAAGAGTGTCCAAAGGGTCCTTTTAAGGGTGTAGGGAAAGTGTATGTTTGCACCAAGTGTCAAAGTCCGCTACTAGATCACCCTGGTTATGAGATTAGACAGAGCTCATTTGAGAACTCCTCTTTCGGAGAAAACCAAGCAACACAGGCTAAGGCGCTTGAGCTGGATGATGGAAATCAAGTGTCTCACAATGTACCGCTTCAGCTTCATGTTTTTCCTGCCATTTCGACAGATAAAAATTGCTCTTACAATGGTGGGGGTCACCAATTCGATGCTTTACTTCTACGTGGAAGGCTTCTTTATTGCTGTCACTGTGGTACTCGAGTGGGAGGAGTGAATGAGGGCGAGGAGGGTGACGCACCATCGGGTCGTACAATTCAGGCGCACCTCACTGAAGTGGAACTAGTCACTTGTGAACATCACACACGCGATACCTCGACAGAGATAAATTCCAATTATAATCCAGTTGAGAAAGAGGAAGAGCACGTTTGGTACACGTCGAAGGCACAGTGTGTGATCAAAAGGTGCGAGAACGAAGAAAAAGATACGGACAGCTTCGAAGCCTTGCTGGAGCAAGCCACTCGTGAACGGGAAGAACTCGAGCGCGAGCGCGCAGAAGCAGAAACACACCTGGATGACTCCAAGGCTTCAAAGAAGCGCAAGACGGGAAAGAAAAATGTTAAGGCGAACAATAAATCAAATTTTACGCACTTCCGAAACAAAGACTTTACACCGCGTTCGGTTAGGGAGAAGGAAAGGGAAAGAGAACCAGGTAAGGCTACGCAAGATAATTCTCACCGTGACGTCCGAAACGATTCTGCACAATATTCTTTGGAGCGCGATTTACACATTGAGAAAACTACGACAATGTTGTCTTCTGCTGCTTCATCGCATGGCGAGACTGCTTTTGAAGAAGAACAACGAATCATGCGGAGGGATTCTCTAGTGAAGGAAGAAATGAGCGCAAATAATACTGGGGCATCGTCTTTTATTGCGCTTTCGCGCAGGCAGCGGAAAAAGGAAAAGAAACACAAGCAATATCAAGTCAAAGCTACTGGCCACAACAATGATGGCTCGGAAAGTGATGAATGTGGGAATTAGTTTCGCATCATTCACCTAAAGAAACACATGCACTCACACGAACATATTCAAAGTGAATCAAAGCGAAAGATGAGAAATATATAGGAGTGAAAGGTAGGATACTGGAAATGATTGCACATGCAGTATCAGCTTGTGCGTGAGTAACTCATTGTTGTAGCTCTACTAATTCAAGGTTTGGTTAGAAAAAGGAGGAGCACATCTGGGAAGGAAGAAAGGGTGCTAAGCTAGTAATTAATGCAATAAAAAACACTGTACTTCATCACATTATTAACTTTACAGTGCATAAAGGCAAACCGAAGCTGTAACATAGGCAATACGTTTTCAGCGCTTTATCCTTTAGATTTTTCGTTTGGATTATTTATTTCCTTTTCTGGTTGCACATTCGCCTTGGATACGATAAATAGACTTCATTTTTCCTTTTAATCCTTCCTTTTTACTGTATGCAAAAGTAAGGAAAAAGAACCAGCAATAAACTGTGTGGTTTTTTAGCGGTATGGAAGCAGCTAACATCAATCTCATCGCAGCAGACAACCAGGTGTCCCCTATACCCTTCGCTGCATGTAATGACTGTGAGACCCAACTAAGGAGGGGCTGCAAGGAGGTAAATGGGGTAGGAGCTCATAACAAGAATCGATATGTTCAAGCAGCAGCAAAAGCTGCACGACAAATGTCTCTAGCTGGCCGAGAAAGCGGCTCTACATTGATATTTGCTGAACACTCAGATCGTCTTCTCTGTGATCCGACCAACTCCTTGAGGGCTTATGGTGTCTATCAGTTCAAGTACGTTTCAACACCTGCTGAGAGTGAGGCTGAGGTGCAAGAGCTGATCGACCGTCTCATGCGGACCGCCATGGATGCGTATGAACGGTCTGTCGAGGTTTATATGAATCTCTCGGATGAGGCAAAGACTTTGATGATACTTCGGCATGTACCGATGATGGTTTCACAGGTTGTTGCACTGCCCCCCCTTCTGTCTAAGCTCAAGGCATCAGTTATGCCAAAGAAGCCGAATCCAACAGAAAGAACTTCCATTTACTCCATACGAAGGAAAAGTGGAACCGCACTCCCCAATCCGCCACGGCCCGTGTTTCTTTCGTCAACTGCAAATATCCGTAGAAAGGATCTAATTTCGCTTCAGCAGCAACCTTTACCAGAGAGTGACGGTATAAAATTGTCCTCTGCCCATGTTCTACGAGATTCGAAAGTGACTGGGAATGTAAATTGTTCTAGACGACCTTTAGGGGATGCATCAACGCCTAGTCTCTGCTCCATCAGCCACAGCGATGAGACTTCAGAGTATAGAAAGGCACGACCGTGGACCGGTAAGCCATCCGATGACGACACGGTCGCTGTCTCGGCGATAGCAATGAACGCTGTTCAGTCCATCGCAGAATTGGAACACCGACAGCCGACCGGCCAAACCGATGCCAAAAGCACTTCTCACAACAATCGATTAGAGGAGGTGGTTCAAACGTTAGCTCAGCTCTGGCCGCACTACAGTGGCGATGAGCGAGGAAATCTGATGAGGTCATGGCCACAAAAGAAGCGCCAAGTTTCGATACCGCGAAGCGCTCGAGAGTCTGTGAAAATGGATAATAATTGCGTAGATCAATGCGAATCCCATACGGGTGAGGAAAACGTTGAGGGCGATTCTTTTCTTTCAGGCATGTCCACAACACCGCGGCCGACTATACACGTCCTCATTGACATCATCGCTTCACGTAAAGCCCTTGGCTCTAACCCTTCACAGAGTAGGCCACATCAATTGGCACAACTTATTTATGCAAGTCTTCAGAAATACAGCAAGGTGGCGTGTCTGCACGCCTGTGTTGGAATTAGCGACACAAACGTTAAGCTGGTATGTCGCGATGTACTCTTTCCATTTCAGATCTCACCTGCTGCTCTCAGTGGTGCGACTTCCTCCCGAGCACGCACCGCTGGGGCCTCACTGCGGCGGAGTGGCTCCTTGATTCACTCAGGGGTTTCAAATACTGTAAACGCAACACGCTTGCTCGAAATAGAGAGGCGAGAGGGTAAACCCTCACGCTTAAATGTTCACAAAGGTGATACCACGGTTTTGCAGGATGATATTAATGCGACTACATTGTCCTCAGGACTACTTCCATGTGCGCTACTTCCTCCCGTTGGAGTTGAACTTATCGACCAGGCCCATCTATTTATTTGTATACCCTCAAACTTTTTGTAATCGCAGCATCATATCTAAGTGAGTATATCCTACTATTCGCATAGAATGTTGAGAGGGAACTTACAGTCTGAGCCAAAAGATGAACCATTCGGTTGTATGTAGTATAAACGTCTACTCATCTATATGTATATTTTAATTATGTAGGAATAGCTAGATTTTTTGTTTACCGTTCCTATATAAATTAGTCGCTTTATTTGCCTAAAAAATTATTGTTCGTTCTCCCCTTCAGGTATGATTTGAGCTATTGGTGCCTTCCCCCCCCCTCCCACCAGACCGAGTACAATTCAACCTACTGAAAAAATATATTTAGTCAATTGATAAGGAAATGAATGATGAAATTCCTTTTTGTATATGAAAGGAGGGGATTCTTGCATTAATATATGCTAAGTTAATTTCCAAGAATTACTTTCCATTGACTTGCATGCATGTTAGTTATTAAAATAAGCTGTTTTTCTATTTATTCTACAAATCTAAAAGCGTAAAAATTTTGTGTTTGCATGTATATTTTACTAAAAATATTTTGAGATCAAATGAGCTATTCCCTTTAAGGAAGGTGTGAATTGAGAAAGAGTTGGTGCGCACAGTAATGCATTGCCAGTATAGCCTTGATTTCCGGTCAAACGCTCCTTTTGGGGATCCCTTCTCAGGTCGCATCGTGTCCCTGACTAAAATAAATTTTATCAAGGGCAGCGTGCATGCAATCGCCTTACCGTAGCATAAGGTACTGACACATAAAATTCATTACTAGGTACATTTATGGGCGGATATAATCATGTATGTAAGATCTCTCGCACGAAGAATACGTTCAACAGTGTTGATATCATGGCGCATCAGCTCTCTAGCCTCCCTGCTCACCAGCCCACTCGCAGCAACTTCTCCGACATTCTTGCAGCGTCGCACGGTAACACTAGGTGAGCTTGCCAAAGCTTTCAGCGAACTAGGAACCTCAACAGAATCAGATGCAGGAACAACAGCAATATCGCAAGTGCAGGATAGTTATCATGACGTGAAGAAGACATCAAGCTTCTCTATTCAAGGAAATCAAACATCTATGCATGAAGAAATTGAAAGTCCCGGAGGAAATAGAATTCTCACCAAGACGACACGTACACAGGAGGTGTCTAGATTCCTAACCAAGGAGAGGTGGCAGCGACGTCTCTTCGCGCCATCGACCGCTTCATCACACGGGGCTACACAACCACTACTGAATCTTTCCCTTGCTTATGCTCAGCACCTGCGTACACTGTCAGAGGCTGATCTTACTGCCGAAGTGACTAAAAGCTACCGACGTCTGAACTACGGGAACATGATACAATGTTTGATCGAGGTCTGGCGCAGGCTGGAGTGGTTGGCCTCCACTGTACCCGCCATCGGTATACCACTTAACAGTATCGAATTTCAGTGCGATATGTGGGACACAAGTACCAAATTTCGCTTAAATGATGGAGACTCTTCAGAAGAGGGGGTGAAAAGAACTACAACATCTTGCGGGAATCATGGAGGGAATGCTAATACTCATCGATGTGTAGGCCCTGGCGTATCGTTGGACAACTGGTATATCGCACCGGAGGAAGCGGCACCTAGAGCTGAGCTTAATGGCCCCCAAACTTTTCGTACCGATCGCCTTCTTGAGGCAGTGCTGCGATGCCTGTGCAAAATGGATCTTATCGAGCTGGAGCCGAAAATATGTGCATGGATCGAGCACCACATGGAGGAGTTACACCTCGCACAAGGTATGGAGACGGATAAGATCAAAAAAGCTCAAGGACCAAGTGCTGCCGCGCTGCCGCACACTGGAGGGCCATCCAGAAGCGCTTTTAGTGGGGGGAAGTGGGTCTGGGGAGTTGAATTGTACTCCTTAGGAGTGAGCTGCCACTATGCCTACCCCTGGTCGGCTACGTTTGAATTCGCTGACGCTAAACTGGCACGTGTGCCAATCGAGGATAATAAACAACATCTGAGACCGATGGTTAGGGCTGAGGAAGCATCATTGCCTAGCGCTGGCACTCGTTTTCTGCACAAGCTGTCCGAGCACCTTCTCCGGTGGCTGCTCATGCGTGTTTCCACCTTTGATGCAGAGACATCGGTCACAGTACTCCATCTTGTGGCGCAGCAGCGCCTACTTTTCTCTGATGCATTGTTGGAAACACTGGCCGATAACATTGGTTTGGGTATCCATCGGCTTGACATGCATCAGTTGTCAGTACTGATTGACGCGATTCATCGCTACCAAATGGGAATCCTCAACGTCAAGCGATGGCGTGATACTGGAATGAAAGCAGAAGGCGATGACCTTCACAGACCCATGGGGATGATGGACCCTAGCTTCAGGAGCATGCCTCTCGGGATGCCCACGCCATCGCCAACGTCGTATCAGGATTCTTCTTCTATAAGAAATTCCTCCCAGCTGCCTACACCAACTCCACACGCCCTGCATCAGGGTATGGATTGGCATCCAATTGTGAATGAATGGCTCTACAACAGCGTGGTAGAGCAAATGATTCTGCTCCTGAGTCGTCACCAACAGGGAGACCACGTCGAGACAGGGGACGAAGCATCCGGTAAAGACAAGAAAACCTCTTCTGCGTGCTTCGCTGGGTGGTCTCAGATATCACCTACAGGCTTTTTGTTCCTCACACGAGCTCTTGCAAGACTTACGTTCTTTCATCCACGCCTCATCCCTTCGATGCTACCTGGACTTGCCGCGTTTCTACGACGGCACCCTGAGCCTTATCTAGGCATCGTGCTGTTGCTTGGTAGACGAGAAAATTGTGTGATTGATGCAGAAGTGGTGTATGTACTACTGAAAAATCTTACTACAATGTTGGAACGTCGTTCAGACGCTAAGGTGCAGGCCCCAACACGCGGCGCCAGTGATGGTGCGACGGGCATGGATTATGCCTTTGATATACTTAATTTGGATGAGAATCAGGTCAAAAGTTCCGTAGGCGATGTGTTCTCTGCCTCCAGGGAAAAAAGCCATGCTCTAGCCCCACGCTATGGAGATGACGGCATCAGCGGTGGTGATGAAGGGGGAGAGCGACAACTGATGCTTTTATGCGACGAATACTGTTACGATGGGCCTCCTTCTCGAGGCCTTAATACATCAGGGAGCAGTTCCTTTGTGCAAGCTTCAGCCCTACGCTACCGAGTGGGTCTTATTGACGTTTACGTCCTACCAACCCTCATACGAAGTATCTCTCGTTTGTTCCGTCTCGCTTTAAAGCAAGATTCCCCACAAATATCACTCGGGCATAACACCAAATGCACGAGAGACAGAAACTCCTATACAAATACGAAGATCTATAGCAATCCTGCTGATAGTGATCCAGCTCGAGAAGCTTATCAAGACGTAACTCGAGAGGCTCTTCAGCGTGCTATGACCCACTTCTTGCGACTTCTTTACACTGACGCGCATCGCGGAATCTCATCACTTGAGGTGCTCGAGCACGACTTTCCACTGGCGGCTGTACAGCGTCTGCTTTTCTTGGTCCTTGATACGAACAGGTTCATGGAGGAACTAGTCAGACCTCCACATTCGTCCGCTGTGGTAGAGATGGGCTTGGCCACAACGACGAACGACAACACTATTTGTCACGAAGAAACCAACGTAGGAGGAAGAACACAAAGGCCAAATGCTGTTACGAGTAATGATTCGTGCGACTCCATTTCTGTCTTGGTCTCACACGCGTTTGTGGTGGAGTTGACATATGTCTGGGCACGGCAAATTGGTAGCCACTTTAGCGAGCGGCAGAGACAAGTACAGCGGGGCTCTCTGGCTTGGCAACAGCAGGTGCTGTACATGGTAGATCAGCTACAGCGGGGCGGTGTGCTGAAGCGCATAGAGTATCAATCGACTGGAAAGCTAAGCCAAGATGACGGGAGGTTTCAGAGTCTTGGGCACGTGGCTTTCCATGCCGATCGAAGGACCGTGGTACGATATGTAATCCCGGATGAGCTAATAAGCAAGCACCCACGCGTAGCGAGCGAAATTAATCATGAAAAGGAACGCATTTCGCACAAGTTGCTCGACAAACAACGTGAAAAGTGGAATCATTTAAAGGGCTTGCCAGGAGACCGTGGCGTTTTGGCGCCAGTATTGAAAACATCTGCAGTGTTTGCACCTTTCTCAAGGGTGTTAAATGCTCTTCGGCGACAAGAAGGGAACTACTCAACAGGAAGCTAAAGGTGGTTAAGAGGGAATACACAAATTCGTGTCGGGGGGAATAGCTTCGATAACATGACATTTTATCGAATGCATTTGCCTGCTTGTCGCATACAATTACAGGATGATGTAATGAAAGAGGCTAATATATCTATCCGTATAGATAGGTTGATAATTTGTTTAAAAAATGCGTACATCGTTTTCAGATTGAAGTTCCCGAACCTGAGCTCGAAGCGGTAAATAAGGTTTACCAAAGGCACACAGATTTCATGGATAGGATATTTATATCCCTTAATCATTCAGAACGTCAGAAACTGGCTGTGCAGAAAAGGTGATTCCCATGCTAAGAGCTGAAAATCCACGAAGTATTATCGATTCTCCACGCTGAAGGTTTTGCGTTTCCCATTTTTCTATTTCCCACGTAGCAGTTTTTATTTATTAAGCACTTAGACTATTGTTTGTGTGTGTTATCTACCCCATGTCCGCATGTCGCGTTCTCGCATTAGCATTTTTTCTTGTCTCGATTAATAGCCCCTTTCCCCATTTCTTGTTGCATTTCAAAATAGACCAAGTATTTAATGAAATCCCTTTATGCTGTATCTCCAAAAATGGACCAAACTTTATTGCTTTCAGTGAGTTTCATCGGCATTTTATTTCGCTAAAGTCTCCACCAAGAGGAAAAAGGATAAAAATGGACGTCTTTTTGATTCATTTGTGTCCTGGAATTAGCTCTCTTGAAGAATTTAATCAGAAGTAAAGCAATTTGATTTTGTCTTAGTTTTCACAAGAAAAGTATTGAAATATGGACAGAATTTCGCATTACTTTGTTTCCCGTGGTGCAGGACATCTTCTGGACCGCATTTCACATTTTCAAGAAAGCAGCGCCACGTCGGAGCTCGCAGCAGAGCGCTTGAATTGCGAATGCAGTCAAATCGCCAAATCCATTGCCATTTTTATTAAGAACCCAGCTCTACGTAGGGGGAAGTTGAGGCACGCTCAAAATCTTCCTGCCGCGGCTCAGGGCCCCCCAGGGTCGCCCCCCACCCCTGTAGCACCTATGTTTTATGACAAACTCTGCTCGATTATCGTCGTGACATCTGGAGATGCAAAAGTCAGCAAACTTAAGTTCAAAGATCGTTTTAACTCACAGCTGGATTTGATTGGGAGCAGTATTGTGCAAGACGTCATCGGGTATCCTGTGGGCGGCGTGTGTCCCTTCGGCATTAACAGCAATGTGAGGGTGTATCTCGATGTATCCTTGAAACGGTTCGATACGATTCATGCTGCTTGCGGTACCCCTAACACAACTATCACACTAAACTTGGATGAACTGGAAGAATATTCAGAGAATTTTGTAGAGTGGGTAGACGTCTGCGATGGATGGATGTAAAAGAAAAATGTGTGAAATACCTCATTGGAGGGAGAAGCAGTTGAAAAAGCTAGTTGATGTCGAGCATCGTGTGCTGTAGAATCCTGTGGAAGTACATTCTCTGTTTTTTCAACTTTTTTTGTTGAATGCTTACCTTAGCTTTCTATCATTATTTTAATACAAGTCGTGCAGAGTGCATAACTTCGTCGTAATTCATCAATATTTCTTTATTGTAGTATATGAGTATAGAAAAATCTTTCTTTTAAGAATATTGCTTTGTCTTTAGGAAAGTTAGGATTTCCGATTTTTGCTTTTGCATTCTTCTATGCACCTATAGTTTACAAACTTGCACGGCGCAATGATATTTGTGAGTCTCAGGAACGAACCGTTTGATTAATTCCATGCGCCTAAATGCATCTTACTTGGTATTTAATTTTATCGATTAGAACGATCTACAATGCATGCGAAACGTTTTTTGTTTTCAGCCCTAAAGTGCTTATTTCTATTAATAATAATTTATTTAATTGAAATGAGTCCAATCCCTCAGCAAATACATGCTATTTTAGAGAGGCATATTGGTGTGTTGTTTCTAGGGTGTGCAGAGATTACTGTATGGTTCTAATTAATAAACTTCATATGAATACTTATGTATTCTTTTTGTTCTTCAAAAATTTAGGGGTTTCCTTTAGTTTGTGTTGTGAGTACCTAAAGATAGCATCACAACTTTACCTTAGGGTGGCTTCCCCTTCTATCTGAAGTCGTTTTAAGCGTAACATGCCCACGCGTGCTTTTATCCAGCGACTTCAAAAGCATTACGCCTACTTTAAGCGAAGGAATGGCGAAAAACTGCCACCAGGATGCTCATCTATTGAATTAATTGACGAAGATAATCTTAAGTGTTGGTTCGTGCAACTCGCTTACAAGGACGAAAATGGGAGTGACTTCTTCATATCTCTCAGAGTAAACTTTTCAGAAGATGAAACCAGTGAATATTTAACGTCTGGAAAAACTCACATGGGTAGAAAAAATGCCAACGGAAATGCACCCGATCTCCCTGGAGGGCCACTAACAACACGTGGTGAGGAAAATGACGATTCTCTACGCGCTCAAAGTCAAGAGCAAGCACCTTCTTCAGTGCTAGCTTCCTTATCGCTTTTAGGAAATGACTTTGCGACTACTTTGGAGGATAAAGATAGCACGGTGGTGAGTAACAAGGGAAAAGAAGGAGGAGGAGGGAGGGGGGGAAGTGATAAAAGCTTTATACCATTAGCACCAGCTATCTCTACCCCAGAAGTTGTCTTGCAGACTATAAGTAGCGTTGATGCAATAACTTCAGGGGATAGAGCTAGGATATTACCTGAGAAGGTGATCTATACGCGAATGCCAACTGTTCTAGTAATTTGTCCACGCCTCAACGCATCGTTCATTCATCACGGCGTCGTTTGTTCGCTCGAGCTCATGTCGCAGTACTGGGAGCACACGGAAGAGAATATAGCTTTGCTAATCACTACCCTATATCACACACTCAATCCATTTGATGGAACTAGTCGTGTCTCCGTGAGTACGGTAGTGCCACCCGGTGGTCATTGCTTATCCACGCCTCTTCTCTCTGTTGCATCGCGCTATACCGATGAAGAGCATCGCGACGGCCTACATTTTATAGCACGCTCACACCCCCATCTTTTTCGCCAAATCCCTCGCCAGAACGTCCCGCATTTGTCAGATTATGACAATTTTATCACCGAAAAGGGTAGTGATGAAATAGCAAATGAATGTTCACCCTCTCAAGCGCGAGAACACGAGTGTTATCAATCATCCGTAAAACGTTTCCCGTGGTCGTGTCTCAGTACCATAGACGAGGTCAAGTATGCAATTTATCGAGGTATCATGTGCAAATCTTCTCAGAGCAAATTGACGCGGTCAGACACCGGAGTTAAGGCGAAGGACGACACCCCTGTGAAGGATTTCAATGCTAGATTGAATATCGTAGCGCTGCTACAACATGTGGTGGACCTCAGCCGTGCACGAAGGCATGATCAACATGCGTCAAACCCCGCCCAACTTATGGTGTTACGAAAAGATCATCGAGTGGAACCTCTTCGGGCTGCATTGGCACTACCACGAAGCTTAGCCAACGTCTTCCATAAGTCTTTCCTAACGACACCCGCGTGTACTAACTTGTGTGCCTCTAGCGCCTCTCCTAATAGGGATACCAAGACACCCCAAACAACGTCGCTGCAGATTGTTTTGGATGTATTGCTGCCTCTATGCTACGGTAGTCCTCCGCCTGATTCTACAGCAAATGGACATCGCCCCCCCACTTGCTTTGATCAGCACAACCACACAAGTGCTTGTATGGCGAAGGTACATATTTCAGGAAAAGCTTCCGACCAGGATGATACATCTGAGCCGCTATCAACATCGCCTCCTCATCACTTCCCTATTGCACTTGCCCTTCGACAGGGGGAAGTGCCTTTCTCCTGTCTTCAAGACCGTGAGGATTTCGAATTTCGCGAAGATTACGGTATTCCACTCATTGGTACCTTGACGGAAGATGGATGTTCTGGCGAGGCTAGTAGTAAGGACATGGCAATGGTATCGACCTGTATCATATCGGAAGGTCTTTCACTGACGCTGAGTGATTTGGATGTCTACGGTCACCTGACAGTTCATGGTCACCTTCGGCTCCGAAACTGTCGATTTTTTGGCACTATCGTATGTGAAATGAATGGGCAGGTACATATAGAAAACTGTCGAGTCGGCATCGACGTTGGACAAGATCTCATCGACGTCATAGAATGCATTACTTTTACAGAGGAAAATGAAGGTAAAATTATCTCTGCAAAGCTACTGCAGCAAGCTCCTATGTATGAAAAAGCAGACAGAGCGGTGTCGATGCGATTGTCTTCCGAAAAAAAGCCAACACAGCTGCCGCGTCGCTGTGAGGGTATTTTGATCCTCGATACATCTAGAGTTGAGGTGAGCGAAGTGACACTTGTGTCGTGTGCTCAGCCGCTGTCATCGTTTTCCTCTTCCCCACATTCTGCAGGCAGGGCTATTCCCAAGTGGTATCACTGCAGTAAATCACCAGATGCTAGCACCTTAATGTTTGAGCATGATAGTGCAAAGTTAAGCCAGAAAGGGGACAACCACTCGGAGATTAATCCTCCGTCCGCAGCCTGTCATATGGGGAAAAAGGAAACCTTGGAAAGTATAATTGCATCACTTTTATTGGACCTGGTCTCTTTTTCGCCTGTTATTGCGGAGAAGTTGCATAATCATCACTTAGGTTGCAATGAGCCCAGTTGGTGTTGGCCTCTTCCTGTTCTCTATGCCCTTATTTTTGTATCCAACAACGGGAAACTCTTTGTCCATGATAGCTGCCTCTTCTCAAGACCTGGACCACTGGCCAGGTTCTGCAAGCAAATTATTTTTGCGGAACAAAACGCCTCTGTAGATATCAATCACAGTACTATTGTCGCGAGCAGTGTGGGCGCCGTGTGCATCCAAAGCTGTCAGGGTCTATTGCATGATGTCCACATAACAAGCTGGCATTACTTTACTACCATGGTGGGCAAGGAGTGGACGTACGGCCTTGGGGAAGCCCGTGAAATTCGGCATCAGGCTCTTGAGGATTTCAAGTGTGATGACCATGATGAGAACTTAGCAAGGGTTTATCAAAATCGAATGTTGGTTCTGTCTCCAACGTTCAGGGACACAAAACGAAGTACAGGACTGGTTGTTGAGCAGGGTGGTTCCTTGATTGCACGTCAGTGCATCGTAAAGGGATTATACTTTGGTTTTAGCATCACAACCTTCTCCGTTGCCCACCTTCACAGCTGCCGCGCCAGTCACGTCGTCAATGGATATACAGTGGATGCGTCTGTTGCCACTTTTGAAAACTGCTCCGCATGGAGCAATCACGTCGGTGTGTTCGTGTTGAATCAAGCCAAGTGTGAGATAATCGAGTACAGTGATGGTTCTGTGACGGGGAGCTCGTTTGATGAACGCTGCGCTGCAGTCAACCAGGCCTGTTGTAGGACCCGGCAGCACGGAGGCCCACGAAAGGCACTAAGGCTGTATCAAAAGTGCGCACTTCGTGGGAACTCCCTCCGCGGCTTCGGTGCCCACGATGCTGGATCTTTGGACGCAGGAGCGCAGGGTGTGGGACTAGACGACGAATCAGATAGCTGGGCCACCTGTGGTTTCGGCCAAAATCGTATAGCAGGTCGCCCTTCTAGTGGAAAACACTGCAATAGTAGGGGCCTGCGATGCTATTATGGCGAAACTTACGGCATTGAGGTGAGGGGGGCCACTATCAAGGCGAGGGGCATTACGGTTATAAATTCAAAATGCGCTTGCGTCTATGCGTACCCGTTGTATAGTGGTCGGCCCGCGCGGCAGGAGTTGTCCAAGGACGGCCCGGATAACAAGTTAGAAAACGAAGTAGGCGTATGGACCCCCAGTGAGGTAGAGCTGCAGGAGTGTATCCTTTGGGGTCTACCCATGCAGAGCCTTTCTCCTCGGCTCGAAAAAGCGGTGAAACACAACAGCCATTGTGTTTTGGAATCGCGCCCGAGTAACATTGATATTCCTCCTAATGACTCATTGGATTTAATGACAAAATCTACCTGTAACTCGAAGGATCCTCAGGGGAATGATGTTCAAGATTTCAGCATGGTTAGTGATATTTCACTTACACACACATTGCTTGGAATGCGGAAACACTACTCGGATTGCAGAAGCAGCGGCAGTTACCACGAAAACCGTGTAGCAGCTTACTACGATAGCGACGATGGCTGTGGTGTAAAACTACTAGAATCCAAGGGCAAGTTACACCGTTGCTTTGCTGTCGATTTAAAGTTTGCCTTTATTGTCATGCAACAGGCTACAGCGTCGTTCGAGGAGTGTGTGGCAGTGCACGGCTATATCGGTTTTACGGTGAAAGACAACTCTGTGGCTACGCTTTGTGATTGTGGGTCCTACATGAGGGGCATTGCTTTGCTCGTGCAGAAGCATTCTCGCGTAGACATTAACTGGGAGCCTTTGCCTGAAAAAGAACCTGCAGTGCCCACTTTGACTACCTCCTCTACGGATAGCAGCTCGCAAACTTTAACGGAGCCAGCCTCTATACCTTTGATGAAACATGCGAACGCAAAGAAAATCGTTAGTGGCTTCCCCACCAGTGTTTTTGTGGCTGGTTTGAACGGCATTGAATGCAAGGCTAGTGTCGTGCGATGTCACGGTATAGCCGTACTTCAAGTGAGTGGCAGTGCCTTTAATGTGCATGGTGGAAGTACTTTGTATGCGAAACGGTCCCTTGTGGACCTTTCGCTGAAAGGTTCCGCAGCTTATCTCACGCAGAGACTATCCAGGCGAGAAGCGGTGCGGAGGAATGGCCTGGGATGGAAGGGGGTTTCTGGCATCGGTGGAGTCAATCACCCTGATGAAGCTGTTCCATTAGGCCCAGCAGGGATACTTGACGGCTGCAGCTGTGGCACTTGCCACCTGCAAACGTTTGATAGCATCAAGGATACTCAAGATGGTGCTTCTTCTTCCACCATAGGCCTCAAGGCATGGTCTAGCAGTATGTGTTATGTCGACGATACCGAAATACGTGGTGGGATGTATGGGGTTGTGGCCATCGGTCCCGGTGCGCGGGTCCACGCCTACTGCGTCCGCATCTGGGGTTCCCAGCATGGTCTAAAAGTTGAAAGTGCAGCACAAGCGGAGTTTATTAACTCCTGTATCAGCAGCCTGCAGAGCGGCGTACACATCTCCGCGAATGCGCGCTGTCTTATCCAACAGGGAAGCTACGCTGGCAGACTCTTCGGGGTTATCTGCACAGACAGCTCGCTGTTGCGCATCAAACAACATGTCAAGGTGAATGGTTTCTCTCGCGCTGGTATTTACCTCCATGAGTCAGCCATCATGGAAACAGAAGAAGATAGTCGGATCGAGGTTAAAGAGCACAACAAGGATGATTCACAGGAGCAGGAGTCGTTCAATAGTCATCCACCTTCACAGGACGGGACAGAACCGCGCAGTCTCTCGGTCTGCGTCCTGCTCGAGGCGCATGCAAGCGCCATGGTACATTGTGCTCTCCTTGGTGGCGGAGCGGCCTGTGGCATCCGCGCGCAATCTGGTGCATTCGTTTTTTTCCAGTATTGCATGATCCAGGGTGTTCGGCTTATCGGATTGCACGTACTACCAACCTCTACTGTCCACATCGGCTGCGGCAGCACCATCGACATGTTGGACGCCGTGGTCGAAAAGGACGATGGACCACGTCTCCAACACTCATTCAGGGGGGCTTCTGCAGCCGCACTGATCACCTCCTCCTTACATGCTTACCCCTATTCACTTGTGGTAGAGCAAGGTGCAGTGTGCAGCTTCCTGCCTCCTGCAAATACCCCACAGTCTCTGCCGGACTGCTGGTTAAACCTTCCCGTGCAGCAGTCCTCGCACACTTTCTTTGCCGCTATCAGTTCGAGCATATTGTGCCTTCTAAGGGCATTTAAGCCATCACGGCACATAATCACCATATGGAGTTGGATCGCGGCTAATTTCTTCTCGTTCAAAGCTCAGCCGCAAGAGAAGTCCGTACTTTGGGGGATGCATACTTTTTGCTTTTCTCGCTGGGCAAGATCGTCTCTAAGGTGGGCTATACAGACACTTGCGAGCCCATATCGGTCTGAAATGGCCTTGCTGCACGAAAGCAAAACCAAGGCAAAAGTGTGTCTTGACAAAGAAACTAAAATAGCAGTTATATCGTCCAAGAGCTCAACTTCGGTTTCTCTTTCTAATAGCGTCAGAAGCAGCAATGATGTACGGAGCATGCGTAGGATGCGGGACGGATCTGGCTTCCTTGATTGGACCAAGTCTAATCGCAGTAAGGGGAACCGGTGCCATACCACATGGGCATTAAGGCCAATGCACCACACTCCCAACAAGAATACCTTCCCACCGTGGCTTACACAAATGGGAAACAATAAAGTACCTTCGCAGATGACCTTACTTTCTACCACTTCGAGCATTTCGGGACGTTCTGTTATCTGTGGTGAGTGCAGCCTATGCGAGGTATCCTTGAAACTTCCGATGTGTCCGTTGCCCTCGGCTGGTGCAGTAAAAGGACCCGTTTTAGATACCTCTCCGTTATTTCCGGAAGAGGAAGATAGCGTACACTACCACCAACATCACCACCGAGGACCAGCGCTTGAAGACTGTGTATCGAAAGGTGTTAATGATGGGTACAGCTGTCCGTGCAATGCGGCCATGTCGATTAGGGCCTGTGGGGCCCTAACGCTTCGTCGGTGCAGCTTTGTTTGCTTAGCGACTCCGCCTCTCCGAATGTCAGCGTCAGGCTTAGCACGGCTTGACTGCCATATGATGTGTTGTAGCGGCGCGAGAGCGCGTCTACATTTGTGTGGCGTTCACATAAAGCTATATACACCGCAAAAGGGGGCGCTGGAGAGCACAGAAAAATTGATGCGGCAACGACAAACAACCCTTCCAACAGACCCTTGGTTCTATTCTTGTAATAAGATGATTATCCACGCAGTGAATAGGTCCACTGTCGTACTCTGTCGTGTTACGAACGAAGGATTCCATTCACCCCTAGAACCCTGCGCTCGTGTGTGTGGAAACGGTAAAGAGCGGCATTCAGAGGCATCACATTGTCAGTCAGACCCCCTGATGGTACTGGAGGATATGACAACTGTACAGCATGAGCTTAACAGCGAAGAAACACATGCTCGCACCGATACTGACGGTCCTTGTGCAGACTTCCACAGCAAGGAATCCTACAAGAGGGCTTCGTCTGTGCTATCCTTTGCGTTACTCCGTCTCAGCGTTCATGCCTCTGGACAGTCTACTGTATATGTTTATCGAACATTTTTACACAACCTCTTAGCAAGCCACAAGTCGAAGCTGACGGCTATCCAAAGCACGATTGTGGGTCCGGCACCGGTCACCGATATCCAATCAGGTGCGGTGCTGCACACACAACAAGGTATAATACTCGCTACGCTCGTGTGTGTGTGATGGACAAGAAGATGGGACTCTCCGTTTCCAGGCCATTGGGAAAAGGGAAGGAGGATTCCGAGGAAAACAAGATGAAACTCGAGTGTATGTTTACAAGGATAAAATTTATTTCCATATATACGCGTATAGCATCGGAGTACACATCATACGTGCTAATGAATGTGTTAGAAAAATGCTTATTCCATTGATATCGCTACGGCACTGAGTCGTACTAAATAAAAGTAACCTATACTGGTAATGTGTCTTTGCTCTTCTGATCCTTTTAAGTTTCCGAAGGTATCCCCACGACGGTGCCTCGCCTTTTTGTGCTCCTATCTTTATGACATTCTTTCTTTCCAGTTTATCTATTGTCGTTATATTTTCAAGATTTAGCTTCTTAACTGTTGTTAATAGTTATTATTTCACAACCATAATTTTTTTAAGTGTTTATTAGCAGCGTTTCCAAAGGTATATATATATAAAAGCGGTGTACTTAAAATCTCCCAATCCAATAAATCAAAGGGGGGGCTTTCATTTTTATAAAATAGTAGGTGTAAACGTACGTATCTACACACTATTTCGTTTCTGATATTGTTGAGAATAGCCAAAGATTTGTAGAGAATTTTGTACTTCTTTAACTTTTTGAGGACTAAGTTACTATCCGACTTAAGCTTGCAGGTTTTATTTGAAGCTTGTTGCATGTCCGCTCACTTTCGGGAGCTTCGCCAACTCCTTTCTGAAACGCTTGGTATCGAAGAATTCGACAAGATCAGTATTGATGAAGCAAAGCCTATAAAGCGTCTGCTGGCATGCCGCACCATTGTGCATAACGCTGACGAGAGTAACGCTTCCATCCAGGAAGAACACGTTATTGGCGTGCTCCAAGTGATTTGCAATGATGTGCTGGAACATTGTCTTGGTACACACAAGAATGATTCAGAATCCTTAATGAAGTCTTCTGAAAACAATAGCGGCGTATCGAAGCTGCGATATGTGGACGAACTTAATGATGAAGATGAGGTTCGTCTGGTGTGGAAATTTCTTTCCACCTTCACGAAGGACGAAGAGGTAATGGCACTAATAGACCGCTCAGCTACCAAGGCAGCAGTGCAGCTGCATTACGCTATCACACGCCCGAAGCAACTTGATATGTTTGTCCATATTAGCGCGACGGAAATGTTCTTTATTGACGGTGATTCGCTCCTTATGGCTGCATTGTCATCACAGCAGGTGGACTGGGATTTAATGCAGCCTCTGCATGTTTTATACAATGCGCAGTTCTTGCTACGCCGTATGCAGAGACGTGGAGCCCGCTTTCATGTCATTTTCTTTGAAAAGACACTGTGGTTCTGGTCGAAAAGCCCACAGAAGATGTTTATTCGCGAAAATCTTCGTGAAACCCTTACATCAGTCTCCGAAAGCAACCCGTCCACGGGCCTCGTCGTTAAGGTTTTCGAAAGCTACCACTGCGAAGCCTTTGAGGAATATGTAAAACATTATGAGCCGGAGTTTTTCCTCATTTCTGATGGAGAGCAGCTTGGCACTCCCGGTCCGCTTCACAAGATGTTTAACAACGGTGATTTAACACCAGAGGAAACTGTTACGGAAAAAAAGCGCCCGTACCGGAGCATTGTAGATGACGAGGCTCTTGGCGATGAGGTTTCTTTCTATTACCACTGTTTCCAGACGTGGGCCATGGCTCATCGCATCACGGTGGCCTACTCTTCTCGTATTATTTCGCGTGAAAATGCCCTCGTCGTGTTCGCGGTGATTTCAGACAGTGTAAGCTTTGCCCGAGCCTTAGCCATCGACTTGATGGCTGTCAAAGCCGCTGAAAAGCTTGAGCGCGAGGTTTGGTTCCCCAATTTGAGTTCAGAGTCCAAGGCCGTCTCTGAGGACGAAGAAGTGGTCCTGCGAGAGCAGATCATAGCTGGTGCCGTGCATGCCTATTTGAGCCGTGATGGTCGCATATCCGAGCGGAGTGAGCAAGACAAACAGCTGGCACAAGCAATGGTGATCATGGCCTATTCCATGGGTCTTCTCAGCTCCGAACTCCGTGCCCAGACATCCGGGATCGTTTCGCCCGAAGTTCAGCGTTTCTTGAACGATATTGCCCCATACATGCTTCAAGTTCTACGGCATCGCGGCTGCCGTGGAGGCGGAGGTACCGAGCACGACATCTATGACGGTCACCTCCTCGCAGTGCTGGTTCACCACCTCCGGACCACATCGGTGTCTGATCTTATGGACGAAGATGGCCTCGAAGACCTGAACTACTCGCTTAAAAATATTTTTGGTGACAAGGTGACGCTATGTACTGATGCCCCGCTCACCGTACTACCCGAGGTCGTGTTGGGTAAACCCCAAGAGGCCGCTCAAGAGCCACGCCTCATGCATGAGCTTGTGGAGTCTCTGGCAAAGCGGTTTAATGTTCATGGCCATGTGTCAGATCACGCCTACCCCAGTGATTTTGGGATGGCAAATCAACTTGAAGGGTGGGCCCTTAACTATCCTTTTGATGATCTCAACGATGTCATTGATTCGAAGGGACAAGAGGAGATTCAGCGCAGCATGACAGAGAAAGATCGCAAGCGGAACATGAAAATTGAGGCGGCTTTTGTGATTGATGCGACACAGCAAGCGGAGTCAATGGGAATTCGTAGCTTCATGAAGGAACGTCTAGCGTTGGTGGTATCAGAAAGCGATGACGACAGCGATGATGAGGCTATAGTCGTTAACAATGATCAAAATGGCAAAACTGGTGACAACAATAACTCTTCTAAGCGGCAAAAGTCAGCTCAGCAGCATCACGGTCAGCGGAACAAGAAAACACGTAGCAAAGAGGACGTCATCCGAGAGGAGACCAACCTGCGTGATGCGAATCGAAGTGTGCGGGAGTGGTATTACCAGGTGGATTCCGTCATCAAGTCGACTGATCGGACGGCGGACCGCGCCACCAGCAAGGACCGCACAGAGGCCATCAACACCCTTTCAGCGACCATCTCCAGACTGGAGCAGACCAACCTTGCCAAAGGCTTTGACCCTGGTAATGCGCGCAACAAATCGGAGGGTCTACCTCTGAAGTTGGCCATGTGGCGACTTCTGGTGGAGACAAGTGGAATGCGGGAGGCAGAGTTCGCTTTTACGATTGAGGCCAGCACAGACTCAAAGAAATCCAAGCAACCGGCACGTTCCAAGTTGTCCGCCGCGACAGAGAATCTTTACGCTTTCAACCTCATTGAGAGACTTGTTCAAGACTGCACTGGTGTCAGTGGCAGCACGAGCGCGGTCAAGATTAGCTCCGCATCTGCTGTCTGGGGAAAGATTGAGTGCTTGCACTACTCAACGCAGCCGCCCATGTCGTACTACGACGCCATATCTTACCTCAACTGGGTCTATCTAACCTACGTGCAGCTTCACTTCCGACTCAAGCTCATGTGCCGTGTAGTGAAGCTGCAGTTGGATGACTGGAAGGCCGAGCGTGAGCGCGCGCGCCTTGCCCACGAGACACCTAACATCGATGCCGGGATACTATTGTTCATGTACTGTCACCACAAGGTCCTGTCGCTGATTCAGGCGAATGGACTCTGCATATCCGTTGATGATATCGACACGGTGCGCTCTGCACTCATGCACTTCGATTTTCCCAACTCCTATTACGAGAACGTGGACCAGTCCATATCGACTTGGCAAGGTCGACCGCTTGGGCTGCTTCCACCAGGCATGCGACCACGACAGAAGATGTGGTTCAAGACGCCTGAAATGACGCAATTGATGTACATGGGACACCTGTTAGAGCGGCCCGTGATCCACGAGGAGGACTCCCGTGTCGCCTTCAACCCCGATTTCTGGCAACGTGAGTTGCTTGACATCGTGGACAATCGCGGCAGTGCCGTTGTGTGTGCCCCGACTTCAGCCGGAAAGACGTTTATTTCCTATTACTGTATGTACAAGGCGCTCAAAAAGTCAAATAAGAAAGTTCTGGTATATCTTGCACCGAATCGTGCACTCATTAACCAAGCCGTGGCGGATGTATGTGCTCGCTATGGTTCTAAAAAGTACTCTGATGACACCAAGAACGTGTTTGGTGTGCACGGCGGCGACGACTACCACCTCTACCTCGATCGGTGTCAGGTCCTCGTAACCTTGCCTGAGGTCCTTGAGACACTGCTGCTGTCACCAAAATATACGAAGTGGGTTGCGAACCTGAACTACGTCATCCTCGACGAGATACATACCATGGAGAGCAGTGGGAATGGTGATGTCTGGGAGCGGGTGCTGGCGCTGCTGCCGTGCCCCTTTGTAGCCCTCTCCGCAACATTGGGTGAGACACATCAGCTCTGTGGATGGCTAAACCGTGTGCAGGCTAAGCTTCGGGAGCAACAACCACACAAAAAGCGTGATTTCAACGTCTACACTGTCCCCTCATCTGGCTCGATTCAACGATGGAATGACATTAAAAAGTATATCTACTTCCCACCGGTCGGTCAACCGCAAACATTGAAGAAACTCAAGGCTAAGTGCGAGCATCATTACATTCGCGACCTTCACCCGCTGTCCATCTTGACACTGGATCAACTTCGACGCGGTTTCCCACCGGAAATCTTGTTGGTGCCGAGTGAGGTGGTGCAGCTTTACAGTGCCATGGTCACACATTTTCAGAAGACAATCCTGCCAAAATGGTCCAAAGTGGCTGTGGTGCGTGACATTGATGCTCAAATACGGAGTATCATGCCAGAGGAGTACTTCAAGACAGAGCTCCATATCACACAAAAACGTGCCCGGCAGTACGAAGTAGATGTTAAAAATGCTTTTGTTTATTGGGTTTACCTCACCACTGGCCGTGATGCCGCTGGGTTCGACACCCTGTCTTCGGAAGAGGTAAGTCGCCTGAATGCAGATATGCACAGCGTGTGCGAGTCTATCCTCCAGACGTTTTCGTTGCATCTTCGCGAAGAGGAAGAGAAACTCGAGAAGCATGCCATGGGGGCCGTCTTGGCGCAGCAACAGAGCAATGATGTTGTGCCTGCCAACAAACAGGTACACTTCCCTAACACGAAACGATTTATTCAGGATAACATTATCAACGTACTACGAGAGTTGAGCAGCCGTGATATGGGGCCCACTATAGTTTTCAGCTTCGAGAGTGAGAGTTGTGATGACATTGTGAATACGATCGTCGATCAGCTAGAACAGGCCGAGGCAGTGTACCGGCAAACCGAGGAGTTTGCTCAGTACAAGGCCATGATGGGGCGCAAGGCTGCTGCCAAGGAAGCCGCTCGAAAGCAGCGGGAATCGAATCTTAAGCAGAAGCGCTTGAAGGCCGATGATAACGGTGATGTTGAACGAAACGAGCGTAACCTGGACATCGACGACGGAGGCGACGATGAGGACTGTGTGATTCCAGACGTCCTCCCGGAGTTTAGCTTCATCGGGCATAACTGCACTATGGATCCTGAAACTATCAGTAAGGCGATTGAGGAGTGCAAAAAACGCGGTGACACTCTTGCCGCACGTGCGATCAGCCGTGGAGTTGGTATACACCACGCCGGTGTAAAGGGTAAGCTGCGGCGTCTGATGGAAATTCTCTTCCGCCGACGACACTGTGGCGTTATCTGCTCGACCGAGACGCTTGCGCTCGGTATTCACAGTCCCTGCCGCTCCGTTGTCCTCGCTGGTGATCACGTACTACTCAACACAACACAGTTTCGTCAGATGATGGGACGTGCTGGACGTCGTGGTCTCGACTTCCTTGGCCATCTCGTCTTTCTTGGTGTGAGTCTAAAGAAAATAACCCGACTCATGACCAGTGGTATGACGGTGATTAAGGGTAACGCACAGATGGATGTGATCTCTCAGTTGCGTCTCCTGCAACTTCATGACTTCGCGGATCACCGTGGCCTGAAGAATAGTGAACAATGGAAGGCACGCGTGGCGGCAATGGCTGAGCGCTTATTCGTGAACCCACTTTTCTTTGAGGGACGTGCTGCAGTTGAGGGGGGAAATATGGAGAGCTTCACGATTGAGATGATGCAAATGCTTCTTGGGTTCTTCCAAAAAGAGGGTCTCCACTTCAAAGAATGTCCTTCCTCGCTGGGGTCGCTCCTTGTGGATGCTTTGCACGTGTTCCGTAGCGTCAAGGTCGGAGTGGAGGGCATTGCCTTCATCATGATGCTCACACGTGGTATTTTCGTGAACGCCGATTTTCAAAACGAGTTTTCCTTCCTTAATAGCGGTGTTTTCGCGCCCACAAGCAAGGGGTCGGGCTGCACCGAAGCGCTTGTTGAGCTGCTGGCATATCTCTTTTCGACGCACAAAATGTGTGGAGGGCCGCTTGAAATTCACCGTTCAGTGCTAAGTGACCCAGTCGTGGTGTCCCTTTGGAACAAAAAGCGACGTAGTGGAACTGCACGCCTGCACCGTGTCGTGCTGGCACCGCTACGCGCCTGCTGTCAAACGCATTCACCGCTAGCTACCGGTGCTGTGTTCCGTGCTATATCGGCTTTTTATACAGCCTTGGCAGGCAACCTGCAGAAGCCAGTGGAGGATCGACTACCATACATGAATCCGAAAACAAAGAAGAAAAATCCAATCTTCAGTTCCTCTGAAGAGGAACTGCCATTGGTGAAAAAGTTGAGGGCCACGGCAGTGCCCTTCAAGGCCCGCACTCCCTTTGTGGCCATCAGTGGGTGTGGTGACAACTTCGTCAGCACCGAAGACCTCATGACAACCCTCCGAAGTGGCCTCTTTTGCGATCCCCGTTACTTGCCGGTCTTAGACTTCACTGATGGCTGCAGATATGACGGTGCACAGGTGCTTATAAATGCCTGCGTCTCAGATTTCGCGAGGTGCCGTGCACAGTTCGATTCATTCCGCACCAACTACCGCTTCACGCTGCTGGAGGAACTAAATGGTCTGAATCAGTCCGAGTGCTTTGCTGTTTTGAATCAGGTGGAGAATCTGCTGTCGAACCTTGCAGGTCTCTCTCGTGGTGAAGGGGTCAAACCGCTGAAAGTTCTCGAAGAACTCTTCCCTCAGGCCCCGGATGGGTATTTTGCTGGCGCAAAGGGGATTCTACACTTTGCCAAACACATGCGCGACCTCCACTGGCAGATTGAGAAGGACTACTCCGTTGAACAACTCCTCTTAAAGCAGATAGAATCGCGAAAGCAAAAAATATAAGCTGCACGAATGCTTATCGATATCGTAATTATTTAATGGGGGGAATTATGTTCATACGATCACAAGTAGTATTTAAACGGAAGATGCAGATGAATTAAATTGACCTCACTGTTTTAAACGTTCACTTTCTAATAACAAATGATATTGGTGGAATAACCTTAGATTTTGTGGATAAATTCAATAATAAAGACAACACTTTTTTCTTTTAATATGAGAGTACGCGAATCTATGCATGCACTAGGGAGGAAAATATCAATCTCATCATCCGAAAAAGGCTCTGAGACATCTATTCCTTGGGGTGCTTCCCTGACTGGTAATTCGTTTCAATCCATGATATCTAAAAAAGAAAAATAAAGGACAACACTAGAAAAAGGTCATTAAAAATACGTACAAGAAATCATTACAACTTCCACTTTGACAGCCCATCTCTTCAGGCAAGGCGATGCTTGCTGAGAAGGCTATGTTTACATGTGCCCACTTTCAGCTTTTCTTTCCTGGCCCCCCCTCAAAAAAAAAAATGTGGGCCCCCGGGGGATCATATGGCGCTAGTAGGGCTTCAGATTTTTTTTTTGCGCCACTGCGAACAGTGCTGTTTTACTATCAATTTCACTATGAGGTCCTAGCGCTTTTTAAAATTATTTATCCCAAATTGCTCCCCATCCCGATGGCCACCGAGAGGGGCGCCCCGACCCCCCACCACCACCCCCTGGGGGAGGAGGGGGCACGCGGCGCGACCACCCTGATGGGATTTTCTCCATTAAAAAATGTCAGCGATCGGGTTGACAAAATGAGGTGGGGCGTTTTCGGCCACGCCTGAGATCCATGGGCTATGGGATTGACACGCGGAGGCGTGCCCGAACGCGTTTATTTTATATGTGAGGGGAAGGGGGGGGGGATGACAAGCGAATATTCTTCAAGCATTTTGAGATAAGGCATGCCAAAGCGTACTTAGCAACATTATGAACTTATTTTTTGGAGGGTGGGAAGATCTATAAAATCGCAACAAAAGGGTGGTTTCAATTAATCAATGCTTGTGTAGCTCGATTCGGAATGCGGGCTGTCCATCTGGTCTTCGGGAGGCGTGGCCGTACGTGGCCAATGCGCTCCAGACGGGAAGGAGAAGCCCCCAGTAGGTAGAATTGAGACAGGTACTGGTAGCGTGGGTGTGGTTGATGGGGTTGGTCGAATAAGTCCTTGTCCAATCTGTGTTGGTGATAAAGGGGGGGCCGGTGCGACATCAGAAACCGAATCCAGTGTAGCTGTCTTTTGCTCCGGTGACTCGACGACCCTGGGGATTGGGAAGGGAGGAGGGATCACATCGGTGGGCTCTGAAGACTGCGTTTGTAAGGTTGGAGTTGGAATTGCAGGAGGGGCGTTGTGTATACGTGGCGGGATTGCATTTGCCAGCAATGGGGATGAATTCATACCATGCGCAGAAATGACGGGTGGGGAAGCCAAATTTTCTGGCAGAATCGCCTGCTGGTATGAACTGAAATCGTGCGACTGAAATGGTTTGAACTGCGTTGTCGTATTCGTCATGGGGCTTCGCAATGGGTTGGATAGTTGACTTTTCACTGTCTCAGCTTCAGGAAGAGCTACTGATGACGAGGTAGACGCTGCGGTTACAGTATTAGACGACTTTTGAGTTTTTATTGGCGTCACCAAGACTTGAGTGAGCGTAGCTTTCGTGGGCAGTGATGTTGACGAGCTTTTGGGAGATTTGATTGCGCTACTGAGTGAACATTCGTCAAGTGAGCTACTCTGACTGGTGGAGGACGTAGAAGAGTCCGACGTTGAGTATGCATTGGGGGTGGAGCTAGCGCTTGAATCACCTTCGTCTACCGTGGGTAAAGCAACGATCGTCGATTCAAGCCGACCATCCACAGCAGATTGAATAAGAATATTCAATTGCCTATTAAGTAATTGTATGGTGTGATCGAGCTCATAACAAAATTTTTGATGCTGTTTTGATAGCGTGTCTAGGGGAATCTCTAAAGCTTTACGATAAGCCAACGTAACATAGGATAGATTCGCTCCAACACATTGCAGTTGGAAGAGGATATCATACATTGCAAAGTGGGCAACGCTGCCTTTGCTCGGCACGGGAAGTTTGTTAACAGGATTCCTTTTCAACACTGTCTCAACTTCTCTGGGTAAATCCCTCGTCGAACTTGAGGTGTTTCCATCTTCTGCAAGTTGATTTGAAATTTGCAGGATAATGTTGGACAACTTTATGGTATACTCAACACTCTTGGCAATTCCCACCTCCAACTCCTTGGAGTTGCTACTTAGTTGAACCTTATTGAGGCGCTCATGTTCGTGTTTGAGTGTTGTTGCGATAAACTCACTAATAGACTGAAGTTGGTATGCCACATTATATTGCAATGTGTACCATAGCGTATTTGCCTTGTCTTTGCGTTCAACATCACTTTGACGGCGATGTGAAGGGTTCTTCGCATCTGACGGTGGCTTATATTTTACCATATCTTGTGCAGGCGTTTTATCCTCAACTCTATCCACAACAACACGGATGATATAAGGCTTACTTTGCACACTCGAAAGTGCAGTGGATTCATGACCGGACGGGTTTCGACTTCTTCGCTCATTTAGTACATCCTTTGTCAACACTCGGCACGCCATTTGGGCATGCCCAATAGTTTTACCACTGACTTGGTCCTTTATCGCACACATTGTGTATACTGGAGGGGTTTCTTTCGAGGTCATTTGACACACACACACCCAACGGATGTTACAGGGCCCATTAAATCTACAGCAGCACTGCGTAGGGAGCAGGCGCATTAGCTCGTCGCTATCGTAAAGAAACTCGGCCATATGGCATGTGTTGAACGTGAAAGAGATTTCTCCTTTTGTGGTGCTAGATGGCTCAATATGTTGTGGCTTTACAATTATTCCAGGGAAATCAAGGAATGTTACATGAATTCCCCCTTCATAGCCTTTGGTGGCCGTAGGAATCACACAGTGGAGCTTTTTGATAAATATTTCGAGACAATAGGTCTTTTGCATCTCAGTGTTTTAGGTGTTGTAAGTATGGTTAACCCTTTTTTTCAAATAATTCACCGATATGTTTCAAAATGAAGAAGCATACATGCAAACTTGATCACAACTTTCTAAAAGAAACGACTTATTGTCCTGGCAATCGTTGTAAAAACTTTTAAAAGAAAATCTACGGGTGAGAAGTAGGTTGCTATATGATGAACAGTTGATTGGAAATTTCAGTCTTAAATGGATTTCTTTCACATGTTATTTTCTTAATGATCTTTTAAGGTGACGCAGGCAAATTTTCTACAGTTCTTCGGTCGAATTCGGTTTCGATGATTTGTATTTCCCGCGTCCGTACCGCTTGTCCAGATATTCTTGAGTGCGTACGTTTCGCCCCGGGGTACTGGTCTTCTGCAATACGGAATCTTTGGATAATTCCTCTAGGGTAGGAATACGTACCTTGTCACGAAATCGACCGCGATGCCCTCCCACTTCACCGCGTTTAGGAGCACTGCCTAAATCAACATCCGGTTTCAAAAATCTTGCCTGAAGCTGCGCGTCAATTGCATCCTGCTTGGCTTGCTCTAAATGCAATTTGTCATTTTTGCTTCGCCGTTTCATCGGAGTTGGGCTCGATATATTAGGGTTAGTAGCATCATCATCTAAGCGAGGACGACGAATAATAGATCGTGATCCAATTTTGCCACGATCGATATAGGCCCGTCGGTTTATCTCCCGCTCTTCAGAACTCTCCTCCATGCTCGGGGCAACCTTCCGGTCCGAATCTTTCTCTTCTTCCTCACGGTCTATGTCTTCCATAGCGGCTGAAAACGCCTGGGACTCATCTGCTTGCAATTGTAAGTTTTCCTCATGCGCACTTGCCATTATTTCCAATAGGCGCTCCTCGGCAAGTTTCGTACCTTGTGGAGCCTGGTACATTGTTGCACCTGAGTCCTGGTTTTCAGTGGTGTGATGGGACATCAGTGTTCTCGGGACTTGAGCAATGTTACCCGCGCGATCTTCTAACATCGGCAGCTGCCCCGCAAAGTTGAGGGGATATGATTTTTTGGACCCTGCGACGTACTTGTCTAATTCGCTCTCAAGATGCTCGGCTAAGTTAGCCTGAGGAACATAGTTAATATACTCCATGTACTGAAGCCGCTCGCTTGCGCGCTCGTACCAATAGAAAAATTGCCGCTCGTGGAACTCGCGCAACAGATCCAAGTGCTTCTTCTTGAGGGCCTGCCTACTGTGTGCGAGTTGCTGGTTTTCTACTCGTTTCTTTTCCTGTGCTTGCATTTCAAACTCCCACTGCGCTAACTGGGCTGCTTTCGTAATGTTGTACTTATATATATATTCATTTGCGTTGACACGGAAGGACTCCAACCATTGGCGTTTGTATACTTTGCGAAGATGTTCAAACTGTGCTTCGTGCACATTGCGCCAAAGCTCGTTCTGCTTCCACATCCAATGACGATATGGAGTGAGGAACCCAGTCATTTTGCGGCCATGTTCTGATTTCGAGGGGAGATTGTAGTATGGCCGATATTGCCTCCTGAGAGCAAAAGAGTGCCGCATCATAAATTTCTGTGTTTTAATGATTGGAAAAAGGAGAAATAATAGTATATATATATATATATATATATATATATA